AGTTGGAATGTCTGGCTGGCCTGCTCCTGGTTGTCACCAGGAGAGGCTTGCCACACCGGGTGCACTGTGTCTGTCAGGCGCCTTTTGTACTAAAAGCACTTTGGGTTCGGTCTCATTGAAATCAGTGGCCAAGTTCAATGTTCTACAGCACGGACAAAGCAAATACAGAGTCCATAAAAATGCACAGTGTGCATGAGATACATGAGGGGGGGAAATAATGGTATTAAACCAGCCACAAGACCAGCCATGTACAAACTGAAGAGCAGCCCCCGGAAAGGTGAGGTATTCAACAGTCCTCCTCTGACTTCCTCCATTCACTCTCACTCTCTGAAGAAATGTAAATATTGTCAAATCCAACAGGTATTCTTTGGAGACAACAAGGTTCAGCTCTGAGCTGGTATCATGCAAAAAATGACGGGAGAACAAGACTAAGATGAGTGCTGGTGTTGGGAGGGTGATGGGGAGATACACACCTAAAGAACAAAGTGAGAAGGTTAAGCCCTGCCATGGCGACATCTCCCTCTCCTCTCCTTTACATTATGGGGTTTGTTTTACAGAAGTGTGATTTCAGAATGGCATAACAGACATCTAGCAAAGAAGCCCACATGTAATAGTGGAGCTGAAGGATTTTATGGATAGCACAGCAGTGACTTCTGGTGCAGCTGGAATTTAATTCTGTTTTGAGCTCTCCAATGAAATAAAATTTGATGTGGTTTCTCCCCTCTGTCTTTTCATGCACATGATGAATAAAAAGGCCTGAGGGTTGCATTATTTGTGTTTTAATATGAATGGTTTAGGGATGCTGGTCTGTTCCACCAATAGGCATGGGGATCTAGTGATCTGCTGGCACCACTGGAGCAGAACAATTGGAAGCTGAGTCCAGGCACCAAACTTAACTTTGCCTTACAGTTTTGCAAGAGCAATGATCAGGAAAAGGGTAAGAGGAGGGAATAAGAAAATTTCTTACATTTTCTAGAGAAGCAGATACTGTACTCTAAATGCCTCACAAATCTCAGGGCCTTTTTCCTACCAGGTAAAAAGAAGCAAAAGAGGTCATCAAGTCACTCTCTAGCTGCCTGTGAGAAGCTTGTTGATGCTTCCTATTCCCAGCAATTACAGACTTTATGTGCCCTTTGAGACCAGGTACAGAGCAACTCAAAATATTATTTGTGCCATCAGTTTATTTCTTCTGTCATGGTTAACTCCTAGAGAGTCAGCTGTCAGAAAGTAAAACAAAATCACAGAATCAACTAGGTTGGTTTAAAAGATGTTTGAGATCATCAAGTCCAACTTATGACCTAACACCACCTTGTCAATTAATAGTGCATGATATCTTTTTGGAAAGCCCTACTGTTTCCAATACCAAAGCAATGAAGTTGGGCCAAAATCCCTTGACCCTTGAGGAAGATGTGCACTGCATCTATAAGGCTTCAAGGAGTGGCCACTTCTTTTTGGAGGTTTTGGTCAAAAAGACAGCAGACAAGCAATTGTGCCGTAAGTTTTTCCCTGGGTGTCCCTTTTTGGTCCCCCCAGGTGAACAGAGGCACCATTTCTGTTCTTTCCTTCCTCCCCCTCTATGCTTCCCAAGCTTCTGCTCTGCTTTCCGTGGGGATCTGTTTCTGACTTACTGGTTTACCCATCACAGAACACCTGACTTCTTTAGCATCGTACATAAAGCTTTATCAGATCTGATGTAAGAAACTCACTTAGACAACATAGAATTTGAGATTAAATATACCTACCTTCACATTTCCTTAAAGTTAAGCTCACAGGCAGTGCACGTGTCAGATCTACAAAGAAAAAAATTGTGGGCAAGCTGTATGTGAAAACTGCTCTGTTAGAAAAAGCTGTCTCTGTAGCACTGGCTAACAGACATCAAGTCCTTCTGACCTGTAGTATGAGAGATACTTGGGCACTCATTCCAAATCCAGATTTCTCTATCTGGTTTAGGGTTGCATTCTCAGGCCTTCAAAATCCTAAGAAAGTATTTTACATGGTTTTTAACATTAATTTTTTATTGTAATTTCCATTATATTTTTGTGTTGCTTTGCCATTCGTATGCACTCAAGGGTTGCTCACTTAGTCTCAGACCCTGTCAGTCACTCTGGAAGAAATGCATCCCTTTCTAAAACTGGAGAATGATGTTCACGGGCCTTCTCTTTTGCTCCAGCTTTAACAGACAGAAGCCTAAGTATAATGCTGCTGGTGGCTTTGGCTTCTGACAGACTTTGCTCAGTAACTAATGTTTAGAAAACATTTCCCTCTAAGCTATCTCTCACTCTCTGAATTAGATAGCGTTAGATCTTTTTTTATGTTAGTGTAATATGGCTACATCTTTCCCTCTGTGTGGACACTTTCTGCAGTATGCATATACAGTTATCAAACAGACTTTTAAAAAAATCTTTTTAGTACATACTATAACATTTAATTGAATTGCTCTTTTACAATATTTGCTGAATTTGAAATTTTTTTTTTAAGTTTTAATTTTTGGTTTAAATTGCGTTACAAGAGTTCTTAAAATTCTCTAGGATTGTCTTACTGCCTCTGTATGAGCTTGTTTTAAATGGAATTGTTATTCTGCCTTCTATAATCAGTGGTCTAGCATGGACGTGGGCATCTTGGTTCTGTGGAGACCTGCTGTGATGAAGCAGCTTAGGCCAGTCAGACCACACAACAGGAGGGTGTTGGAAATGCTGAGGTGATAGTGCTGCTGTATTTCTTGATGAGTAGGAGACTGGAACATGAGACATCTTCTCTTAAAAATTCTTTGTATGGGTGTTGGCATAAACTAAAAAAATCTCAGCATCTTGATTTGGCTCAGGAACTTTTATTTGGCTGTAGTTCATTTATATCCCTGAGGACCTCACAAATGCTTTTTGAATATTTATGTTCTGCTCTTTCTGCAGTATTTCTGAAATGGGGAATTATACCTACCCCCATTTAATTCATCACAAAATGATGAGTGCAGAAACCCATAACTAGGTTCTCAAAGTCACACAGTATATTTCATTGATATAAATGAGAAGGAAATGTGAAAAAAACACTCAGTCTTCACTGAAATGAATTATTTTGGACTTAGTGAAAATCCACACAAATGGTGATATCACACAGCCTTTCACTACAGACCACTGCTTTACTGTGTGGGCCACTGCTGATTTGTAACTGAATTTTGGCAGGGCTCTGAAGCAGTCGACATGTTAAAAGTAATCAGAATAAATAATTCTGAGTTGTTCAATGAGCATTCTAATGAGCTGCTGCTCATCAGCTTTTGAAGGCAATTCTTCCAGAAGCTATGTAAGAAATTCTGTGTAACTCTTAGGTGTCACTCTTCTAGCAGCAGGCAGCTGAAACCTCCAAAAGACTGCTCTTGAGAATGCCACTCTCATACTAGCAGAGGTAAACATACAGCTGTATATCTGCCTTATCTGAATTTCTGTACTTCAGATTTTCACAACTTTATGCCTTTTCCCTCAGTACCGTTTAAGACATTTTGACTTGACAAGGCAGAATGTAAGGTTATATGCCCCGATGCAAAACTATGGCTTCAAAACATACCAATGACTAGAAAATACCTAAGGAGCATTTCATTAGATCAGAGTCTGCAGCTGAATCATTATCATCACCTAGAAGACAGTTTCCCCTCCTGTCTCTGCACTCCAGGGAGGAGTTTGAATCACAAATCTCGGAAGACCATTTGATCTGTGTGACATGGCTGCCACACACAACCATAAGCATGGTATTTAACTACCAACATACATGGTCATTCCTGCAGACACTGAGAAAATTCATACATGACCTGTGCATTTTCTTCTTCTCCTAGAGAGCAGCCAGTGGACTGAGAGGACAAGTATTGAGACTCTACTCTTGATAGTTGTTAGAAGAGTTTTTAATCACTTATGAGAACCAGATTGCTCATCATCTGGCTTGAGAATGAAATCTCATCCTTTGATAGCTGTAAACTTTCTTGCAGATTGCTTTCTGCTATGCTTGCAGAATTATAGTAGGGTATGATGAAATTAGTGTTTGGAGCTTTAAAGGAAGACTGTCATGACTTTCTTCATTTAAGGCAAAAGAAGAGTAAAACTCCCGTAACTCTTTTTCCTTGAGTTAAATGGGCTGTAGATAGGGAAGTAAATGATGCACAGGAGCTGCAGACAACTTCACAGAAGAGAAGTTACAGGCTGTTAGTAAAATTTTGGAGGACACAGAATAGCCACTGAAAGCCCTCTCTGAACTTGTCTTCTGTGTATACCATATCATACCTGGGCTGAACCTGACTTCTGAGAAAACAGGCAGCCAAACTGTACATGTAATTTCTCTGTGAATTATGAAAGCGTGTGGTCATGAAACTCTGATTTTTCCTATCCACTCACTGCAGTTCTGATGCCTCTCTAACACAAGGTTAAGGCCAAAAGCTTTTTCCTCCAAAGAGGGCCACAAAGAGGAACATAAATCTGCATTTAAATATAAAATTTAGAACATTTACTCATCGCAAAGAAACTATCTGATTATATGACAGGGATTATGAGTTTAATAATCTTTGCTTTTTCCCTGCATGACATATATGTATAAGGCAGTACTGCATTCCTAAGGAAAAACCAAGAGGGAACTTCAGCTGATTTATTTATGTATTATAATCCTAACACTCAGCAAGGAGTTTTTAAAAGGCAGCAGTCCCTGGGAAAGGAGTTCAGCACACAACTTATCTGACCTAGCACGCTCTACTCCCTCATTCCTGAAATCTTGGCATTTATGATCCCCGTTCATCAGAAACACCATAAATGAAATAGTTTAGCATGATCTTTTGCTGCCATATTTTCTGTCCTCTAAGGGGAGATCAGAAATTCTGGACTTTATTTATTTCTCAGGATCAGAAAAGATACCCTAGTATTGGACACAATGTTCAAAATAATGAGCTTAATAAAGTTGAGGGCTTTACGTAACAGCATGAAAAATTCTGTATTTAAACAGATCATTCCCACCACACAGAATAACATGCCTTTTTTCAGAGATTTACCATGTTTAATTAGTTATTTTTTCAGTATCTTAATCATGTATTCAGTTAAATAAAGTAATAAACAAAAGTGTTCAAAGTGAGGCAATACTGTCTTTATGTTATTTTTAAATTGTGATCAAATATCTGTGGGACATGGAAAACTAAAAAAAAAAGTACATAATCTTTGCTTCTCTAGCAAAATTTTAGTGCCAAATTCTGCTCTCAGGTAAATTTCTATAAAGCATTGTTCATAACAGCATCACAATACAAGGGCATGTTCATGGGTTTAAAAAGTGCCAAAGGTCAGCAGTTGTTCTCGTATCTTAAAGGCTCAGCACATGCCAAGTGGAGCCCCGCTGCCCACCACAAGCAGTCACAGCATCATTCCTCTCCAACAAACTAATTTGATTTAAACAGATAATAATTCTGCTTTTTTTTTAACTTCAATTTGCCTGTTTCAACAAATGAGAGCACAATTTGGCTGCTTTCTCAGGGAAAAGGAAACCAACCAAACATGACTTTCACCAGGCCTCAGTTTTTGGCCCCAGATTTCAACATACACTATTACAGCAATCAAAAGAACCATAGAAATTACTTATTTTACTGCTCCTTAACACGTATCACACAGTCCTGCAGCAAGCAGAATCACAGATGAACCTCAGAACATACAGAGAGCACAACTACTACACTGGACATGAAAAGGAAATTTTATTAAACATGTTTACATAACATGAGTTGGAAGTTCATTTAAAAGCACAGGGGAGTGTTAAGACAAGTGGTCAAAATAGAAAGATACTATCGAATTATAGCTAGTTGGTTTTTGGCCACTAAGACAGAACAGGATCTAGTAGTAGTGCACCAATGCTTGAGTTCTTCCTGCTCAGCAGGTCGAGCAGTAACCAATCTGTGCCCTATGGAAAGATGGGCAGAATAATTCCCATGTGTTGAGTAATAATAAATAGTTCACTTGGTGCAGGCAGTATGTCTATGAATTAAAACCTAGTGTGTACACAGTTTCTACATGTGTTACAGCCCCACAGTAGGAATCTACACCAAAATAGTTATTAGAAGGAATTTGGTCCGTACTACATCACGTTTTCCATAGGGTAAAAAATAAAGTCCATCTATAGACATTTAGCACCAGACCCACAGACCTAGCCTGGCTAAAACCTGCAAAATGNGGATGGCTTAGATTTCTTGGTTACTTCAGTATAGTAATTACGAGCAAACTGTACAAGTACATGCAACATACAAGCTGGCCTATGTGGAACTAACATACATTATTAAATAACCTTTTTCATCTCTTTTTACAAAACGTGCATGCAGCTTTGAACAGTTCCAAGTCATGCTGCTCTATTTGTGTGATCACAAAATTGAATGGCCTGTAAAAGGAGGGGAACATATCAATGCACCTGCAGGAATCTGCAGTTCTTCGCACATTTACAGAATATCACAAGGGATTTCAAGGCCAAGAAGAACTCAAATGAATAAAAAGCAAATTGAAATTTGATTTTTTTTTCTCCAAAAAGTAAGATATCTTGCGTTAAAAAATCAAGCCTTGTGCTTGCATCAATCTCAAAGAAATGTAAACTAAAATTTGATAAAAACATTAGTAAGTGCAGAATATTTCAACTGGAATTTCCAGTGAAACATTGAACAACTCATACCATGCTCTATCCAGGGCAGACAGGTGCGTCTGAAGCGACACACATCAGAGAAGCCTGGGTACAGCTGAAAGTGTCATATGCTCAATTCATTCCTGGTCAACATTTTGGGAAGTTAAATATACATTTATACACAGAAACGTAAGTATTTCCTCTCCATTTCTAGGAGGAAAATTGCATTACCAGTAACATATTCAATGTCAAAATTAAGACTAAAGCTGCTTTATACCAGTCCCCAGCAGTAGTTGCAGAATTCTTCAAAATTCTTCCATGCAAAACATCATAAACAGAAAAGTTATTTTATATATATATAATGCAAACATATCTGCTTTTTACAAAGAAAAAGTGGCACTGTGATGACTTTTATTTTTAAGAATATAACTTAGATTGGTCATTTGTTCTGGGTTCCCACATGAAAGACTTGTAAGTACCAGAACTGAGAAACGATTTGAACTCGCTGGAATTGTAACTGTGGCTTTTGAACACTTTAACGATGCTTACAGAGATATGCTTCAGCCCTTTTTTGTTTGGTTTAGAAAAAGAAAGGAAGGGTCTCTGTTAGCATTGTGAGGACTTCTACAAAACTAGCAGAATCACATGGCAAAAAACTAGTGTTAGTGACAAGTACAGAAAAACTGCTGAAACACCAGGAAGGTAACACTGCTTGAGGGCTCTCTCAAAATGTGAAAAATACAACATTGTTAACAGAGTGAGAGCTTCCAGTTTGGGTCATCTTTGACTTAGGTCGAATCTAAAGGTCCCTCTCTTTTCTTTTTTCTTTTTCCTTTCCTTTTTTTTTTTTCTTTTTTTTAAATCATTATAAGCATCAGTGATAGCTGCTAATAGATTAGCTGTATGTGATATACCTTTGTTCTGTCAATTTAAGCCATCTCTCAACAGACAGACATATATTTGGATTACTACTACGAGCAAAAACGGAAGTGATTGTCTCTCTCCAACAGTATTTCTTGATCATGTGAATATCTAGTTCCAATTGTTATCCTGGGTGATATTTTGAATAGACAGCACCTGCTACTATGATCTAATGCAGGGAGGCCCAGTTGAACTTTCCAGAGATGACTGGGAAGCCCTACGTGTCAGGGGAGTCAATGTTGGATCCACTAGCGATGAGGGTGGAAATAATTTATACCAGCCTATTACCACACTGGACAGATCCAGTTCCTCCAGAAGGATCTGGGCAACTCCCATGAAGCATTTGTGGTCCATTCGGCCATAGTCTCCCCAAACTATTACCTGGAAGAACATAAAATAAAGGTTCATGATTGTCCCCAAATCCATGCTTATACAGGGTTATATACTTAAACCCATGCTTATGTATGTTCACTCTTGCCATTATATGTGTTAGCATAAGGAAAATGCTATTCTCAAGAGTGAATGACTGCTTCCCTTTCATGGGAAAACCTCATGGCAGGACAAGAGCAAAGTCAACAACAGAGAAATGTTTCATGCAACAAGACATTTTGCAAGTCTGAACCACAAGCCACAAGGATGTGTTTAATGGTATTTATAAAATTAAATGCTTAGTGAGTTGGAATGGATTTACACATACTGGTTAAATTTAAGTAAACACACAAGTTGTTCCCCAAGTGACAGCCTAAAATGGGTTTAAGAAGAAACTGACCTGAAGGACTTTACCCTGTGGACTTTCCTCAAAAACCAACGTCTGTTGGTACAGAGGATCAAGCGTCTTCCTTGCAATTCTTGTCTTCTTCTTAGCTATACATGCTCCATTTTCCAGTAAATACACTTTGACATACGGAGCTACAAACAGAACATCAAGAATGTTATGTTTGGACTTACAGTGCAGATCTGAAATGGAGGACAAATGCCATAAAAGGAAGCAGATTAGAAAGAAAATGACACATTATTTTCATTTTATCTTCACAATTGTATAATCTGCATACAATTATATTCATAAAACAGATGACACAGCCCACAAGAAATCAATTTGATTTTTATAAACTTTGAATATAATGATCTAAGATGTTACTAACAACAATTACACTTCATGTCTGTCATTTTAAAAACATTTTATTTTTCCAGGAATTAGCTGTCACTGACAGCTATTCTGGAGTCTCTATAAATGCTTAGGGGTCAGAGGTAGTTCAAAGCAAAAGGAATATTTAAAACTATGCCATTCCAATGACCAAGACATGAATTGCTCTTTTATCTCTAGCTCCTAAGGAGATTGCAAAGTACCATTTTCACTAACTGTTACATGAAGAACTGTTCCAGGTGATACAATAAGCAGTGGTTGCGTATTGATTCAAAATCTCTTCTAATAGTTGTTTCTATAAGTAACTAAAACTTCAACAGATGTCCTTATAAAATGATAAAATATTATTACAATATACATCATGCAGATTATTGACATTGACAGTAACACTAGCACAAGCTGCTGCCTTCTTGAAGCACTATTGTGGACAGTTTTTTTTCCATACCTGGGGTAGATTTGGAGCCAGGTTTTTGTGTGAGGCCACGGGCTCTAATGACTTCTACTTCTAACTGGCCTTTTTTATCCACCATTCCAATCTGGATGTCACCTGAGAGGGAGAAGAAAGAAGCCCACATTTTAGAGAAGCAGTATGGCACAGGAGATAAGGTATGCAAGTGAGAAAGACTAGTTTGATATTATTCTGCCTTACTGTGCTTGTTGTGTCTCCTGATGATCCCTTTAGCTTCTCCATCCTTAAATAAAATATACTTAGGGAGCATGGTGCCCTCTCTTGGTATACAGTTCATACCAGCTAAAAGGAGGTATTTTTTTTTCAAAAGTCTCCACCAGCCACACAGGTGACAATTTTCCCACTTTTATCAATATTCCACACACATTTTTGGTGTGACTAAAATGTCACAACATGTTAAAAAAAGAAACTGCTTTCATTTTTAAATAGTCAAACTTGTGTCCTTGCCTGAGTTTTGACAAATGACATTTCCTACAGAAAAAGGAACTGCTTACTTTGAGACCAAACACTGTTCTGATCTAGTTCAATAAAATACAAGGGCAGTAAACACTGTGTTGCTGCTCAAAACATGATATCTCTATGCTTTCATATATCATGGAATCAGCTGAGTAGAAATCTAACTTAGATTAAAAGAGACTAAAATAGGCCATTTAGAATGCACAATATGACATGAGCAGCTACATGACACTTGAGCAAATTAATGAACTACATCCATGAAACACGTGAGTACGTATATATTTGATATGTAAGCTCTGATTGTCTAAAAATCCAAATTCACAAATAGATGATCTTGAACTATAGAATTTGCAGTCCGGATTTAGAGACACAGCATTTTGAAAGTAATTGGGCATGAGATTTTCACGTTTCTCTAACAGCATATTAAAGCAGTGTTTATACCTTGGTATGTGAGGTACAACAGAACAGCAACAATTTTTTTTTATCAATTAAACTTTGCTTGAACAAACACAGCCATGTTTTGCACTAAAAATAGTTCAGAGAAAAATTCCAACAAGCCTTTTTAAGAGCACATCTCTGTATTGCATATCCAAAATAAAACATGCAACAGGTAGCCAGAAGGGGGAGACAATAATCCAAACATTTTCAAATCATCACTAGTGAAAGGATACCACAGAGCAGGTCTTCTAAAAACTGTTAAAAAACACTGTGGAGTGCTTTTTGGAGGCCAAAGAAATGAACCTATAGTAGATAAAGTTCTAAAAATGTCAGAATAAACATTTTACTCAAGTTATCTGCAGAAAAATCTTTAGTCTCAAAAAAGATTAAAATAAAGAAACAGAAGAAATGTAGACCCTTATATGCATACCAATAAAGCCATTTAGGTATTTATTGGAAAAATAATCTCACTAATACATGTTCTTCCAAAATAATAACAAAAATGTTAATTTAATAATTTTGCTGTTTATGAATGCTTTTAGTAGCAGTCATTAGGATTTATACAGCAAGTTTTGCCTAGAGAGTCCTCAGAGCATTCTGAAGATAGTTTGCCTTCTGCTGATGAGTTTGGAACACTGTATTTTGCAATTTTTTTTTCTGTTTCTCTCTCCTTTTTCAGATGTGTCTAAGTAGCCCTTCCTAAAGCTGGTTTTCCCAAGACAGTTGTATTGAAGCATTGGCCATTTATAATTTCCAGCAGAAGAAGTATTATTACAATAGTAGATCAAAGACTCCACAATTAGTATCCTAAAGCACGTCTAAGAACTTCCCATATATAATAAAAAAAAACCAAAAAAAACCTGACAACAAATCTTTCAAAAGATACTTACACAGTTCTGCACTCTTGCACTTCTTATAAATTCATACTCTGTTCATAAACAAGCTACAGCTAATGCTGCTAAAGGAAATTACAGACTGGTCTGGAAAATAGAGAAGATGACAGATAGTCCCCAGCAGCTGCTGTAGAAACTTTGTGTCTCTCATGACAAGCACTGGCTTTATCAGTGACTGATTATTGGGCATTGCAGATGTTTCCAGAAGTTTCACTTTCTGGAGTTAGATGAACTAAGTTTGGAAAAGGGCAGTTTGGCCAGAAACCCTCTGTCACATCCAATATAACCTGTGTCAAGTAAATACTAACTCTGAACAGCTGAGATTTTGCAGAGAGCTACGATTGGAGAAGCCACAATAATTTTGTGGGAGAAGTAAAATCCTTATCTTCAAATTGCAAATAAGATTAGCCAATACCTTAAATGGAGCAAATACTGTTTCTCACCCCACTTTGGATGCTGTGACTGAAGTGACTGAAGACAGGACCTTCATGTTGACAATGAAGGGAGACACTTGGTAAAAGTCCTTTTGGTGCTGTAGTCTGGCAGTGCGTGCATTAGTTAATTGTCTTATTATTCATTTAACAGAAGAGAACAATAATTCTTACCCATGGCAGGGGTTGCTAGTGTTTGTCGACCTACTAACTGTGCAGGTCCCAATCCATCAAGGAAATCACTGAACTGACTGTCAGCGCCCAGCCGTACTCCAGGAAATATTAAGCTGAAACAAAATAGAAGCTGGTTAAGCATAAGAACAGGATTAATTTCTGTCATCCTGCAGTATTTACCTCAAAAGTGTTACTGATACAAAGCAAGTAGCTCCGGATGCACAACCAAAATCATTCTGCAGCATCAAGAATTATATGTTTCCCATGGACCCCAAAGCAGCGTAGAGAAATTCTGCATATCAGCTTGAAGCAGTCCATAAAACAGGTCGTGCTAAGGAGGTCACCAGGAACAGTGAAGTCTGATAGGTAAACAGACTAAGAATGACCTTGTATGAGAAAACATTAAAAGCTTAATGACATTTAATAGCCTATTCTTCATAAGTGTGTGATTTACATAGATCCAAACCCCATCTGCATTAGTTAGAACAAATAGAGAAAACAGATGTATACACTGAATTAATCTGATTGCTGCAGCTGTTTAATGAAGCAGTAAACTGGCAGGTAGTAGCAGTAGTGGTGATTAGAGCTAAACCTAAGGCCACTCTCTAGCCAATATATTCTGGCAGAAAAATCTGGATCTACAGTTGCTACCTACCCTTCTCTCATGATACCAACTGAACCATAGCACATCAGCATAGTGTATATCAAAACATTCAAGGCCAGGTAAGACAGGGCTTTGAGCAGCCTGGTCTAGTTGAAGATGGCCCTGCCCAGGGCAGGGGGTAAAACTAAATGACTTACAGGCCCCACCCAACTCAAACTATTCTATGATGCCATAATGTGTACTTTGCCAAGCTGCTTTCTTATATTGCATAGTGTCCATTATTTTTTTTAATAGATATACAGTCTCCAAACGATAAAAGAAAAACAAAAAGAGAGAAAGAGTGATCTGTGATGGGAAGACTCAGCTTTGACTTCCTATTAACAATTATGAGAAATAAAAGAACAGACTCTGAACCAAGTCTAGACAACATATTCCCCAGCAGGCCATCCAGCACTCTGTATCTTCTTCTTCCTCAATGGAAATTCCCTATTAGACTGCAAAAATAATAAAAAACTTCCTAATAAAAACAAAAGCATCTAGTGTTAAAAGCTTTGATTTCTGCACACCAGACTTGTGCGCTTCAGCCATTCAATTCACAGTTCTTTGCAAAACCAGTGGTTGCATAGAAAAAGTCCATTCCTCTCTTGAAGACTAACTGTTCTTTCTATAACTGCATAAACTTATTGAATTTCTGTGACTGAAGCCGGTCAGAAAATATCATAGAATTGCCTGAGATGGAAGGGACCCACAACAAAATCATCGAAGTCCAACTCCTGGCCCTGCACAGGACAGCCGCAAAAATCTCACCAAGTGCCTGAGAGCATTGTCCAAACACTTCTTGAACTCTATCAGGCTTGATGCTGTGACCATTCTCTGGGCAGAACAACTCCAAATCTCCCCTGATTCAGCTTCATGCCATTCCCTTGGCACAGCATTTTGCTTTAGAAAACTCTTTATTTACCAAAAGGTAAGATTTTTCACAGAAATTTAGTTTTAAATTATCTTTTTTTTTTTAATATAATTTCTTTACATGGAGGAGGAAAAGAATCTCAAGATCTCCAGTTCACACCAAGATATAATCTGCTTCTCTCCCCAGAGCACTATCCTTTCACTCATTCCACTGCTATGAGAAGTATCTTGCTTGTTTCATTGGCTTTTTTTCCCAAAATGCATTAACTTTTACCACAGGTTGACTAACAAGATCAAAAATATTCACTTGAGAGCACACTAGCACACTTCTGGCTATACAAATGATAATGAAAGTTGGAAGTACACATTCATCTTAGTGTGTATTAATTCTAGTTAATCAAACTCCAGAAAGGGTCAAGCAAAAGAACATGACAAGGTACCTGGGGTGAAAGCACTCTTTACTCCTCAAGCTTGCTTTCCTCACTGCCTTACTCAGAGGCTGATTCTCAAATCAGCAGTTTATGGCTCTACCTTTCTGTCCTCCAGATCCAGACCTGTCCTCCTGCTGTGACCTCCACATCCAGCCCTCGGCTGCCCTAGCCCTGCCAAATCTATTTACACACAATGAGGGTGGAACGGAGGATTAAGCTGTTCCACTGAAAATGTCCTCACACTTACTGCTGGGATCCCACCTCTCCTCTCCACTGCTAACCAGGATAACAGGCTCCCCCAGCTCCTCTCTAAAGAGTTCAGTTTATTGGGCCCTTTGTCACCAAGGTGAGTAACTGGTGCCCTGTAAGACTGACACTCCAGCATAGAGAAGGGAAGGAGAATGGCAGGGTGGAGTGTTAAAGGGGTAAATGTAATGGCCTGTCAAGGAATCATAATGGGGAAAACACTGGGATATTTTACTCTTGTCCCTCATTCTTTGTCTGATCTTCATCTGCTTTGGTTTTGAATTCATCATGATGGACCCTGTTTTACTTACATGGCTCTTAAAATTCTTGGTATTATCATAGAACCATAGAATGGCTTGCAAGGGACCTTAAAAATCATCGTTTTGATGCCTGTGCCATGCACAATGACATCTTTCACTAGATCAGGTAACTCAAAGCCCCATCTAACTTGGCCGTGAACACTCCCAGTGATGAGCCAATCCACAATTTCTCTGGGCAATCTGTTCCAGTCTTGCAAAAAAATTAGGGTGGTGAGAAGATCTGATGATGATCTGATGAGTCACCTTTACACATATTCTTGACACCAGAGCAGCCTTGACTCTTTGTACCTCATACTGTATGCAGTAGCAATTGTGGTAACACAGTAAGCATATAAAAAGGTGAAGCCAAAGAAGTTCAAATCTCTTTCCACACCCCCCACCCCGGATCTATAAAGGTCTATAAAGGTGCATTTGCCCATCTCCATTTTTCCCTTTATTTGGGGAGTCATCTTCTAAGAATTCCCTAGTAACCACTATGTCTTGACACATGCAGTAGAGCCCCACTGAGAACTGTGAGGGTGCTGGAATATTTCTGCACATTTTTGTGTCAGAACTGCCTTTGTTCT